TGCAGGTGTGGGTGCAGGTGTGGGTGCAGGTGCAGGTATACACGGAGGTGCAGGTGTGGGTGCAGGTGCGGGTGCAGGTGCAGGTATGCACGGAGGTGCAGGTGTGGGTGCAGGTGCAGGTATAGATGGAGGTGCAGGTGTGGGTGCAGGTGTGAGTGAGGTATAGACGGAGGTGCAGGTGTGGGTGGGTGCAGGTGCAGGTATACATGGAGATGCAGGTGTGGGTGCAGGTGCAGGTGCGGGTGCAGGTGCGGGTGCGGGTGCAGGTGTGGTTGCGGGTGCAGGTGTGGGTGCAGGTGCAGGTATAGATGGAGGTGCAGGTGTGGGTGCAGGTGTGAGTGAGGTATAGACAGAGGTGCAGATGTGGGTGCAGGTGCGGGTGCGGGTGCAGGTGTGGGTGCAGGTGCAGCTATACACGGAGGTGCAGGTGTGGGTGCGGGTGCAGGTGTGGGTGCAGGTGCCAGGCCGTACACCCTCACAGCACCTCTCCAGGGCCTGCCGTTGTGCCTGGCCCAGGGTAGGTGCTCAGCACGTGTGTGATGAACGTGTCCAGCCCAGTGCGGACAGAAGGCATGGCGTTCCACACCTCAGCACTGACCCATCTGTGTTCCAGACACCAGGTGATGCGCCTGGCTTCGCGGCCGGTGGCCACCACACTGTGGCCGTGGCAGGCTCTTCCACCAGAGCTTGTGGGGCAGGGACAACTGGGTTCTGGTGCTGGCCTTGGGAGGACGTCGGACCTGAACTGAATCTTGCTGTCGGTGTGTGCCTGCAGGCTCGTGGAGCCTCGCTGCTGGGACCCGGGCTGGCCCTAACTTCATGTCAGTCGGTGCGGAGGGCCCCGCAGCCCCGCCTGGGGCCCACTTGTGGCCTCATCACTGCGGCAGCCGGGCAAGCCCTTTCTGACGCAGGCAGATTTTCCTGCCGGCACCGCTTTTTGGGGAAATGAGCTGGGTCTCATCTTTGTGCTGGTGTCGAAGGGTCTGCCCAGCGCTCTCCCACAGGAGCACCCCCCTCTGAGCCCAGGACCAGGAGGCACCAGCTACCTGTCCACCTTCTCCAGGGCGTCTGCGACGTTGGCCAGCGGCTTCCGCAGCTGCTGCCGCAGGTGGTGCTGCAGCAGAGGGAGACTCGTGTTCCACTGGGTGGCACACACCACGTGGATGGGCCCGGGCTCGCCCAGCCGCACGGCCCGCTGGAGTGCCACGTCAAGTCTCCGCACCAGGTTCAGCTGGGTCTGCACAAAACACACGGGCCAGTCTGTGAAGACCGAAGGCGAGTCCCGCACACCACCTGGGGAGCTGGAGAGTCGGGAGGCAGCCGGTGGGGCCGTCTGTGGCAATGGCCCATGTCACCTTCTCTAGAAGGGACTGGTTGTCTGTAAGATACTTCCTTAAAAGGCCTAGAATGGGCTCTGCACAGCCACGGATGTCTCTCTTCCATGAGCTGATTCAGTCCACGTGTGCGCATTTCTCGGGCTTGTATATTCACCGCGGCCTACAGGCAGTTATGCTTGCAACCCGAAGACCATCTTCTCTGTTCTGTGTTACAAGTGTGCCCCCACCAGCCAGGCTCTGGTCCCACATGCGAGGATGTGTGGAAGCGGCCTCCAGCCCCACACCTCCGCAGAGCCCCCCGGGGCTGCCCGCCGATCCTAACTCGGCCACGTCCCACGGCCTCTGGCTGCCAGCACCCTCAGGGCCTCCCCTCACACTGCCTCCTGAACTGGCACCTGAAACCTCCCGACCAGTACCAGCGGGCAGAAGCCGAGGGACTGAGCTCCACACAGCCGCCCGTCGCAGCCCCTCAGGCCGCGTGCTCCGCTGCAGCCCGTGATCAAACCTGGGGCCAGTGTGCTCTGGCAGCCACGTCCCACACAGCCCTGGTCAGGCTCCTGCCAGGTGCCGGACAAGGTCAAGGCTACAAGAGCCACATGAGCAAGTCCAGCAGGAACATGAACATCCACCAGGCAGCAAGGAAGGCGCCATGCGGAGCCTGCTGCAGTGCGGAGTACGGAGCCCTGTGACTGCTGCTGGCCTCTGGCCGGAAGGCTCTCTGGAGGCGCCATGAGCTGATCCATGAGCGCCCGCCTCAGCTCCACATCAACGCTAGCCACCACTACTCTCTTCCAGTAGATTCTTTTCCTTTTAAGCTGCAAAGATTCTCATTAAAGAGTAGTCTAAAATAATCTCTGGATTCCTTTCCTGGCAGGGCTGCCGGTCCAAATCCTACTGCGCTAAATAAGCCGATGGGAGAGAGCAGCCAAGCTCCCGTCGCCTGTACTTCTTTGCCACCATGTTTAGACAGCTGCTGCTGTGCCAGCTCATCGGAAAGAAGCTGCCTCCTCTCCAACGGCAGAACGAACGTGGCAAACAAGGCCACCATCTCCAAGTGCAGCAGCCGAGGAAGAGCAGCTCTGGTGAGCACAGTACCCCCCTCCCAGCGGGGTCCTCTGGACTTGCCCTCCCTGGACTCCCTGCCTCCCCCTCCATGCACCCCTGGGATCCCCGCCTCCCCTGCCCCACGCGCCCCTGGGGTCCCCGCCTCCCCCGCCCCATGCGCCCCTGGGATCCCCGCCTCCCCCGCCCCACGCGTCCCTGAGCTCCCCACCTCTCCCCCACACATCCTGGGATCCCTGTATCCCCAACAACCTCTGATGACCCTCTTCTGCCCACCTCCGATCCCCAGCCCAGCAGCAGGCTGCATGAGCCCCACACGCCCGGTAGGCCAGATGGCCCTGGGAGCCATGGGGGACTGTGCTCACTGCTGTGGAGAATGGCAGCCAGTCCCGGTGGGGCTCCCGCCAGAGAGGCCGAGTTCACGGGTGGGAACCCGAGGCACAGGAGGCTGGCCTAGTGTCCCCGTCACCTGGGAGCCAGCAGCTTCCAGGAAGTGCGCAAAACCGCTCAGTGATGCTGAGCCTGCTCAGGGGTTTACCTCAACGGCTGCTCGGACATAGATTTTAATTTTACTTTCGAGTCTTAAAGCTTCTAATTCGTACTCCAGGCATTCGATTTCAATCAGCTTCCCAGGATCCTGCAGGACACACACAGTTTTTGTATACATGGGAGATTTTTAATGAAAGCAATCACACACATTCATTAACTTCAAAGACCATTTTAAAATACATCTAACTTACTAGGTAGAAATTCAGCAAGAAAACATAAGAGAATACAAAGACATATAACAAAAACTTAAAATGTTCCTCCAAAATGCAAAGATTTAAGTGAGAAAGCAAACAAAAGTTTTTTTCATACCTTTTTAATCGTGGGGGAAAAAGGATAGTTAATTTCACTGGACATTGAATTTTTACTTGATTACACCAACTTCAGATGGCAAACGTGTTTTCTTTTACTTAATCCCTGACAGGGTTAGGATGAGAGCACCCTGCTTGGTGGAGGCAGAGGTGTGGGCAGCAGGAACCCGGGACTTGTCTTCGCGGGGCACACTGCGCTTCTACCAAACTGCAAAGCTTTCTGCGTTCCCGCCCGCTGTGACTGTGGTGAGACCTTCCCCACGTCCTCTCCCACATTGCTGAGTGTGGTCAGTCCTGAACTGTAGCCAGTCTAGGAGGTGCGTCACTGTGAGTTAGTACAGAATGGTCACTGGTCTCCGCCTCGGTTCCCAGCTCAGCTCCTGAAACCCTTGTAATGCTCTAAGTGACAGAGCACCAGGAGCATCTTTCCTTCTAAAGATGTGATTCCCGTGGGCTCCTGGGTGGGAGCTGGTCACACAAAGACCAAGCCATGATTACAAGCTTGGGACTCTCAGCCCTGCCGCTATCCTCCAGAAATGCATCAATAATTGGATCATGCCTATGTGAGGAAGCCCCCATAAAATCCCAATAGTACAGGGTTCGGAGAGCCTCCAGGTTGGTAAACATGTCCACATACTGGAAGGGTGACCCACCCCAACTCCACAGGGACAGAAGCTCTTCCCCACGCTTGGGACCCTCCGAGACCTTGCCCTCTATATCTCTTCATCTGGCCGTTCATCTGCATCCTTTATTATATAATAAATTGGTAAACCTGTTTCCCTGAGTTCTGTGAGCCACTCTGGAAAATTAATCAAACCCAAGGAGGGGGTTGTGGGAACCCTTCATTTGTAGGCAAAAAGGACAGAAGTTGTGGGTAACCTTGGGCACCTTCTACTCACCACTGGCACCAAAGTGGGGGAGCAGTTTTGTGGGACTGAGTCCTTCACCTGTGGGATCTGATGCTGTCTCCAATAAGAGCATCAGAATTGTCTAAAATTATAGGACACCCAGCTCGTGTCTCAGACTTGCTTGCTGTGGGGAAAACCCACACACATTTGGTGTTGGAAGTGCCGGAAGTGCACTGTTCTGTGCGAAAGCAAAGCAGAAACACTCAGGACTTGGAAAACCAGCTCTTCCCAGAGCAGTCAACATCACAAGTAATGACGTTCCATACCTTTTCTTCTCTCTATCCACACATCTTCACCGGGGGAAGTGTCTATCCAGAGCTTTCCCTTTTTTGGGGGGTTGTTTTCTTGATATTGAGAGTTCTCTGCATATCCTGGATATGAAGTCCTTTATCAGATATGTGACTTGCAGACATTTTCAGTCAGGATCTGGTTTGTATTTTCACATTTTCTGAACAGTAGCAAAGAGCAAAGGTTCTTCATTTTAACAAAATGTATCAATTTCTTGTATGAATTATGCTCTTGACATCAAATCTAAGAATTCTTTGCATAACTCAAAGTCACAAAGATTTGATTTTTTTTCTCTAGAAGTTGTATAGTTTTGACTCTCACATTTAGGTCTACAGTGCATTTTGAGCTAATTTCTGTATATGGTGTGAAGTAGGGAGTCAATGTTTTTGTTTTGTTTGTTCTTCTTTTTGTTTTTTAACATGTGGCTATTCACCTGCTCCAGTACCATTTGTTTAAAAAGATGCCTTTTTTTATCCACCAGTTGCCATTACACCTCTGTCGAAAGTCAGCTGGCCGTATGTTTGCGGGTCTAAGCCTGGACTCATTCCATCTACGTCACTTCCTCGGGCCAGCGCCACACTGGCCCAACGACTGCGCATCTGCCATTCGTCCGGGAGCGAGGTAGCGTCCACCTTCTGACACGTGTGCGTTTCCAGAGTGTCTCTGCGTTAGCTTGGCTCCTTTGCATTTCCATGCAAGTTTCATGATCAGTGTGTCCATCTCTGAAGCTCTCCTGCGAGGACTCTGCGTGGGAGCACGCCAGAGCCGCCATCCAACCCGGACAGAGTCCTGTGATTCACACAGAATCTTCACTCTAAACAGCCAATGACCTTTTGAAGAGATTCAACTATTTTTAAAAGTCTTTCGCATTTGTTCATGTACTTGCCCTTTCTGGGGGCTGCTCTCTATTTTCTGCAGGTCTGGACTTCCATCTGGCGCCACTTTCTTCCACCTGAAGAGCTGCCTCTAAAGTTTCTTGTAATCTGGGTCAGACTCTTTCAGATTTTGTATATTTTAATAAATATTTTACCTCTGTTTTTTTTAATTTTAAAGATTTTTTAAAAATTTATTTGAGAGAGAAAGAGAGAGAGCACAAAGGGAGAGGGAGAAGCAGGCTTCCCGCGGAGCAGGGAGCCCGATGTGGGGCTCGATCCCAGGACCCCGGGATCATGACCTGAGCCGAAGGCAGACGCTCAACGACTGAGCTGCCCAGGAGCCCCTACAACACAGTATTATTAACTACAGTCACCAAGCTGTACATTAGAACCTTAAAACTTATTCATCTTATAACTAAAAGTTAGTCCCCTTTGACCAACATCTCCCCCCTTCCTGCACCCCCTAGGCCCTAGCAAGCACCATTTTATTCTGTTTCTCCGTCTGGCTACTTTCTCTCAGCATAATACCTCTAGACTAGTCCATGTTGCCACAAATGGCAGGATTTCCTCTGTGTGTGTGTGTGTACACACAATACGTATATGTGCAGAGTCCATATTATATAATTATATATATATAACTATATTATCTACAGACTGTGTGTGCATATGTCTATGTGTGTATTTATACACACACATTTTCTTGATCCACTCATCCACTGACAGGTTGTTTCCGTATCTTGGCTATTGTGATTAATGCTTCAGTGAACACGGCGGTGTAGATATCTCTTTGAGATACTGATTTCACTTCCTCTGGATATATTCCCAGGAGGAGGACTGCTGGATCATATTGTAGTCTATTTTTAATTTTTTAAGGAACTTCCCCACTGTTTTCAATAATGGCTGTACCAATTTACATTCCCACCTAAAGTGTACAAGGGTTTCCTTTTCTCCACATCCCTGGGCATCTGAAGTGGGGTAGAAGCCAATACTTGTTACCTCTTATATTTTTGGTAACAGCCATTCTAACAGGTGTAAGGTGATACCGTGGTTTTGATTTGTATCTCCCTGATGATGAGTGTACCGGATGGCCATTTGAGTATCTTCTTTGAAAAAACGTTTACTCGGGTCTTCAGCTCATTTTATTCATTAGATTATTTGGGGGTTTTTGCTACTGAATTGTATGAGTTCCTTACATATTTTAGATACCAATCCCTTATCAGATACATGGTTTGCAAATATTTTTCTCCTGTCATAGGGTGCCTTTTCACTGTGTGGACTGTTTCCTTTGCTGTGCAGAAGCATTTAGTTTGATGTAGTCCCACTTGTTTACTTTTGCTTTCGTTGTCATATTCAAAAAATAGCCAAGACCAATGTCAAGAAGCTTTTTCCCTATGTCTTCGTATAGGAGGAGTTTTATGGCTTCAGGTCCTAAAGGTCTTTAAACCATTTCCAGTTAATTTTTGTGAGTGGTATAATATAGGGGTCCAATTTCATTCCTCTGCATGTGGACGCCCCGTTTCCCCATCGTGTGTTATCAGTGCGCTTGTCAAAGACATTAATGTGTGTGGGCTGATTTCTGGGCTCTCAGTTCTACTCCATTGTTCTATGCATCTATTTTTAAGCCAGGACCACACTGCTCTGATCACTACAGCTTTTTAACATAGGTGCAAACCAAGAAGTGTGATGCCTCCAGCTTTGTTCTTCTTTCCCAAGAGTGCTTTTGCTCTTCAGTGGTTCCATACAAATTTTAAGATTTTTAAAAAATTTTTGTGAGAAAGGCCATTGGAATTTTGATAGAGATTGAATTGAATCTGTACATGGTTTTGGGTAGTATAGACATTTTAACAATTTTAATTCTTTCAATCCATAAACATTGAATATCTTTCCATTTATTTGTGTCTTCCTCAATTTCTTTTATCAGTGTCTTATAGTTTTCAGTGTATAGGTCTTTCACTTCCTTGGCTAAATTTATTCCTAAGTATTTTATGGTTTTGATACTATTATAAATGGGATTGTTTTCTTAATTCCTCTTTCAGATAGTTCATTGTTAGTGTACAGAAACAACTGATTTCTGCTGATTGTGAATTTTGCAACTTTACTGAATTTGCTCATTAGTTCTAACAGTTTTTGGTGGAATTTTCCCTTTAGCTTTTCACCATGGAGTATGATGTGAGCTGTGGGCTGGTCATAGATGACCTTTGTTATGTTGTGATAACATTCTTTCTATACCAAATTTGTTGAGAGTTTTATCATGAAAGGATGTTGAATTTTGACAAATGCCTTTCTTGCATGTGTTGAGATGATCATATGGCTTTTATCCTTCTTTCTGTTAATGTGTTGCATCACATTTATTTGATTTGTCTGCGTTAAACCATTCTTGCATCCTCAGGATAAATCATACCTGATCTTGGCATATGATCTCTACAATGTGCTGTTGAATCTAGTTTGCTGGTATTTTGTTGAGGACTTTTGCATCCATGTTCATCAGGGATATTGGCCTGTGGTTTTCTTTTCTTGTGGTGTCTTTGTCTGGCTTTGCTATCAGAGAGATCGTGGCCTTAAAAATGAGTTGGGGAGTGTTCCTTTCTCTTCAGTTTTTTTTTTTTTTTTTTTTTGAAGAGTTTTTAAAGGATTGGCATCAACTCTTCTTTAAATGTTTGGTATAATTCACTAGTGAAGTCATCTGGTCCTGGGCATTTCTTTGTTGGGAGATTTTTTATTACTATTTCAAACTACTTACTAGTTATCAGTCTATTCAGATTTCCTATTTCTTCATGATTCAGTCTTGGTAGATTGTATGTTTCTAGGAATTTATCCATTTCTTATAGGTTATCCATCTTGTTGGGGTATAATTTTCATAGTGTTCTCTTACAATCCTTCATATCTCTGTGGTATCAGTGGTAATGTCTCCTCTTTCATTTCTGATTTTATTTGAGCCTTCTCTCCTCTATATATGTCTATTAAGCCCATTTGGTCTAAAGTGTAGCTCAAGCCCAATATATCCCTAATGATTTTCTGTTTGGATGATATATCCACGTTGAAAGTGAAGTCTTGCAGATCCCTACTATTATTGTGTTGCTGTATATTTCTGCTTTCAGATCTGTTAATACTCACTTCATGCCCTTAGGTGCTCTAATGCTGGGTATGTACGTATGCACAACTGTTACATTCTCTTGATTAATCAATTGTTTATCATTATATAATGATCTTCTTTGTCTCATTACTTTTTTTTTTTTTTTACTTTTGGATAAGTAAGTATAGCTACTCCTGCTCTTTTGGTTACCATCTGCATGGAATATCTTTTCCCATCCCTTCACTTTCAGCCTATGTGTGTCCTTAATGCTGAAGTAAGTCTCTTGTGGGCAGCATATAGTTTGGTCTTTCTAAAAAAATTTTAATTCATTCAGTACTCTATGTCTTTTAATAGGCGAATTTACTCCTTCATATTTAAAGTAATTTTTAATAGGTAAGAACTTATTATTATCATCTTCTTTTCTGGCTGTTTTATAGTTTCTTTGTTCCTTTCTGTTGCTTTCTCCTTTTGTGATTTGATGATTCTCCAGTGTGGTATGCTTTGACTCTTTTCTTTTAATCTTTTGTGCATTGTGCTTTGTGGTTACCACGAAGCTTACAGAAAACATCTATAGTCATGACAATCTATTTTAAGTTGAAACAACTTCACTCCAATCACATACAAAAACTCTACCTTTTTACCACTCCCCACTACATTTTATATTTTTCATGTCACAATTTACGTCTTTCAATGTTCTGTATCCATTAACAAATTATTGTAGCAAGTTATTCTTAGTAATTTTGTCTTTTAGACTTTATACCAGGTGAAGTGATTTATATACCACCATTACAGTATAAGAGTATTCTGATGTGACTATATACTTACCTTTACCAGTCAGATTTATACTTTTGTATATTTTGCTGTTACTAATTAATGTCCTTTCACTTCACCTTGAAGAACTCTCTTTAGCGTTTCTTTGAGGGCAGGTCTAGTGTTGATCAACCCCCTCAGCTTTTGTTTGTCTGGGACTGTCTTTCTCTCTCCTTCATTTCTGAAGGACAGCTTTGCTGGATAAAATATTCTTGTCTGGCAGTTTTTCCTTTCAGCACTTTGAATATATCATCCAATCCCTTCCTGGCCTGCAAGGTTTCTGCTGATAAATCCATTGAGAGCCTTATGGAGATTCCCTTGTATCAGATCATTTTGGTTCTCCTGCTGATTTCAAAATTCTCTCTTTCATAATAATAATAATTTGTATAATAGAACTTTGACACTTTTATTATCATATGCCTTGGTGAAGTCTTCACTGGGTCGAATCTCTTATAGGACCTATGAGCTTCATGTACTTGGATGGCCATACCTCTTCTCCAGATTTGGGGGGTTTTCAACCATTATTTTTTTAAATCAGTTTTCTTGCCCCTTCCTCTCCTTTTGCCTCTGGGACTCCCATAAAGCAAATATTGTTTTGCTTGCTAGTATCCCATAATTCACATAGGCTTTCTATGCTTTTTCACTTTTTCTCCTCTGGAAAATTTCAAATGACCTTTTAGTTTACAAATTCTTTTTTCTGCTTGATCAAGCCTCCTATTGATACTTTCCACTATACTTTTCACTTCATTCACTGTATTTATTCTTCGGCTCCAGGATCTCTATTTGATTGTTTTTCTAAATGATTTTTATCACTATTGAACTTCTCATTTTGTTCACGTTTTTCCTGATTTCATTGTGTATCTGTGTTCCTTTAGCCTGCTGAGCTTCCTTAAAACAATTATTTTGAATTCTTTGTCTGGCAATTCATATACCTCCATTTCTTTGGAGTAGGTTACGGGAAAATCGTTGTGTTTCTTTGGTGGTATCATGTTTCCCTGATTTTCTGTGTTTTTTGTAGCCTGTGTTGATGTCTGGGCATTTGGTGAAGTAGTCATCTCTTGCAGACTTCACAGTCCAGTTTTGGTGGGGAGAGACCTTCCCCTGTGGGTGGGGTGAGAATGCCGGCTAGTAGGATGGGGCTGGCAGCTATCGTGCTAGGGAAGGCCCAGCATCATCGTCTCCAGCCTCAGCAAAGACTGCAGGATTCCTCAACAGTCAAGGCTGCTGGTCTCCAGTTTCAAGGTCTGTTGGGGCCCTTGGTGGTGAAGGCTGCTGGGGACCTCCTGATCACTTTTTCTCCCACGGGGATGTCGTGGCCATGGGGATCTCTTTTGGCACTGGGTCTGGGTTGCAAGCACCTTAGCAGTGGTGGCACGGATTTCTGGTGCACAGACGCCCATGGGGCAGTCGTGGAGCTGGAGACTACATCGGGGTGCTTGCACAGCAACAGCAGTTCTGGGGTCCTGGGCACTGGCTAGCTGACAGAAGCCATCCTGGGTGTGACATGGGTGTGTGTCCAGTGGCCAGGAAGCCGGGATCTAGATCTAACTGCTTTAAATTCCGTGGCAGGAACTATTCTCAGCCCTGTGTAACTCTGAAGACTGGTCCCCGGTCTCTGGTTAGGTGGCCCCCTCTCCAGCTTGTGTAGTTCCCTTCCACACGTGCACGAATCAGAACTCAGCTGAAGACTCCAAGGGGGAGCCTCTGGAGCTCTCCAGAACTCTCATTTTGTGCAGTTCACTCCTCTGTGGTGCTCAGTCCTGTGAGCTGGAGCTGCTCCGTCCTCCTGACTGCCAACTCCTCCTCAATCCAGGTAGACTGTCTCGGGCTTCACCTGTGTTCCCCTCCCTCGCCGAGTCTGCAAAGTCTCCAGGCAGTAAGCTCTGGGTGATGATAAGACTCACCCGCATTTGTTGCCCACCTCTCAAGCTTTGCTTTCCTTCATTAGCTGTTGTTCAGGGTCTTGAAAAATATTATTTCATATATTGTTTGGTTTTTTTAGTTGTTTCAGGCATGAGGCCTTTTACTCCAACTTGGCCAGAAAAAGTTCATTTCTTTCACTATGTCAATTTCATATTCTTTCCCCCTTTTAAGAAGAGGTTCACTTATTCCTCAACAATCATACAGAATGACAGGTTTGTTTTGTTTTCCATTCCTCTTGAGAGGACAGCGAAACGTCAGGCAGTGCAGTTCAGTGTTGGAAATCTAACTCTGCCTCACAGTCACTTCTGGTTTCCTCGATTATGACTCTTCCCTCTTGACTGATGTTGCTCCACACCAATCCCCTGAGTGACCCAGCTCTTGGACTTCCCAGCCAGGAGGCTCGTCAATGCAGGGAGACCCTCTGAAGAAAGAGCTGACAAACCCTGAACATCTGAACATGCCCACTTTAGGGAGACTGTAATGATGTTAACATCCATTCCTCTGTTCAACAAAATCTGCCGAGCACCTCTGAAGTGCCAGGCATTGCGCTGGGAAATGGGGCTACAACAGCAAACGGATCAGGCAGGTCCCTGTCCTCCAACAGGTTGTGTTCTCATAGCGAAAATGGACAATCACCAAGTAACACATAAACATCGTCGTTAGACATAAAGGTCAAGATGTAATAATGTAACTAACAACTTACCAGGAAAATGTAACAATTCCAATACCCATAAATAATGACAAATGTATGCTGTAAAAATGAGATACTCATATTTGCAGGGAGAGATTTAACACATTTCTCATAGAAATCAAGAGAGTCAACGGATAAAAATGAGTGCGGATGTAAAAATCTAAACCAATTAACACTGAGAGCCCTACTTTAGTGGATACCTACAGAATCCTTCACTTAAAAAATGAAGATATCCTCTTCGAGTATGCACAGAACATTTACAAAATCTAAGAGCAACAAATACTGAGTATGTTGCAAAGGGCCAGTGAGGAGAGGGTGCTGTGATCTCAGAGGTGCAATTCACTGGGCCCTCGGCACTTGAGTTTCACATTTAACTTTTAAAAAGAACCAGTGCCAGATGTTTCCACGGATACCACAGACCACGGCAGCACCAGGAGGACCACACACTCCCAGGGCGAGTGTCCCTCTCACAGGAGGTTGCTCTCTGCGGGTGGTCTGAGCAGGGTGAGACCCCAGTGCTAAGGCTGGGCCACTGTGTGTGGAAACAGAAGATGGGAATGGGGCCGTAAAAGAACTCTGAAGTCCTTCAGAAATAGCTACCTCCGCTGTTTCCATCCCCTGTGCTCTCTGGCTGCGGAGTTCTCCGGCCTCAGCTCTACCCACCCCCACACGCTCGTCCCAGCTCTCCCATCTGGCAGTCCTATCCAAGTACTGCCAGACTGTCAAGGTCCAGGTGAAGTTTTATTTCCTTTTTTAGAACAATTTCCAGATCAACAGAACCACAAACATGACTGATTTCCCTTCTGCTAAACTGTATGTCTTATTACCTGCACCATGGAAGGGGTCCTATGCTAGAGCTTTATTTAGAGGGAAACTTGGGAGAAGCAGCTGATATCTAAGACTCACAGGTACTTTGGGACTAAACACAGCAGGTGCCCAATGGAAAAGGCAGGAAGTGACGCTGGGGGCCCCACGGACCGTGGCAGCGAGAGTGCGTGATGTGCATGTCACATCATCTCAGCTGGGTGAAATGCACATGTGGAAAACGAGGCACTTTGCCAACCACACTGCTAGGCCCTCCTGCGGGAGGGTTTTGGAATTTCTTTCCCTCCCTTTGCCTTTTACGTCCAGGTGACAATGAGCAGGTGCCGTACATCCATCCGCAGTCACCCATCACTTACTGTGCTGTCAATACTCTTCAAGTCTGAGAGGCAGCCAGAGGAGATCTCCTCACATTTCAAGGTCAAAGAGAGACGAGCCAATTCAAAAAGCAAAAGAATTCTGGAAATGAAGAAACAAGAGAGCAATGGATCAGAGGAGGCGTCAGGGACCATTTACCTGCATGTACCTGTAGGGGAGAAAAAGCAGTCATCATTTAACCAGAGGTGGGAAATAAAAATAAAACAAACATCCTAGGGCCATGGTCCCCAAGCCCAGCCCCGCCAGGCCCTGACAGAATTTGGCGGCAATGAAGAGCTCCATCCGCTGGGTGAACTGCTCCTCCTTCTCTGCCCTCAGGTGGGTACTAGTTCAGGGAAGGAGGCAGGGAAACGCCCCGCACAGCCTCTCGGCGCCTCAGGTGTCACCGTCTGAATCATCAGAGCAGTGGGAGCAACACGGGGAACAGCCACGAATTTCCTGACTCAATGCCTCTTCCTCTGACCACGGGACAAGCATCCAAGGATACCACTAGTCCAGGGCTTTGTAGAAAGAAGCAGGCTGATGTTAACATCTACATGGGAATGCAAAGGACCCAGGAGGGCCGAAGTGACTTTGAAAACAAGGCTGGAGGACTAGACTACCTGATCTTGAGACTTAACATAAACCCATAGGAGTCCAGGCCTGATATAGGACAGGCCCGGGTCCTCCGCCTTGACCGTGACATCCTGGACCAGGCAGTTCTTGGTTGGGCACGGGAGACGCATCCTGCACACCCCAGTACCTTGAGGAGCACCCCTGGCTGCCAGCCACGAGGTGCCAGGAGCAGCCCCCACGGCGGCCACTGGTAGTCTCCAGACATGCCAAATGTCCCCTGGGACAAGCCGGTGCCCTTTCTGCCCTTTGCGAGCTAACCATCACAGTCTTACCCAGGACCCCAAATGGCTAGTCTGCTGTAATAACCGAACTCGGTGTCGCCACCCTCCCCAACCTGCACTCCCACCATCCCCGCCCACCTCCTCCCCCCGCTCAGCCCCTGGAGCTCCAAGGGCCCTGGCAGCCCTGGCTTGACATCCTGCCCCTCCGTGCTCCCTGAGCTCCGGCCACACGGACCCACTGCGCAGGTAAGGAGGGAGAACCCGGAAAGATATAAATCACTGGGTTTTAGTCCTTTTTTCAGTTTTAAACTAACAGAACATTTTTTCCCACCCAGAATTCTAGGCACAGAAGCCCGGGTGGAGGGGTGTCAGCAGGGTCCCTCACTCAGAGTTGGGAGCCTGAGGCTTTTAGACAGGAAGGACCTGAAAGCAAACACAGAAGGCAGCTCGGGACAGGCGGCCCAGCCAGCGCAGGACACGCCCTCTCCTCCAGGCCTGAGCAGCACCAAGCAAACGCAGACCGCACGCGAAGCCGAGGAAACCTAACTGTCCACATCAGGAGCTGCTGGGCTCAACCCCTCTGGCCACACACAGTAAAAGCAGAAGTTCTTACAAAAGTAAAGCCACAGAGACACCGCAGGGGATAGAACCATTTTCAAACTTGGAGAATGGGAGGGCCTTGCTGGGCACATAGGTAGAGATGGGGGACACAAGGCCAAGCCTGGCTCATGGTGGGGGTTAGGGGGCACACAAGTGGGGGTCAGGGTATGCAGCCAGCTCTGAGCTGGGGCCACACGGCCTGGACTTCTGGGAGACCCAGGTCAGCCCTGACTCACAGGGCTACTGGGCAAGGAATCCGCGACAGGCCCAGGACTGATGGGAATGAATATGAGTTCAAATTATTCTTATATTAAATAAAACATTTTTGTACATCAAAAATTAATTTTAAAAACCTAAAAGGTGTACAACCTGGGACAATTGATAAATATACTAGAGCTGGAGTGCTCAAATTTTAAAATAGAAAAATCTGCAAGTCAATAATGAAATGGTTTATATCCTACTTATAAAAAATGGGCAAAATAAGTGTATAGGAAACTAATAAAGGGAAAAAATGCCAGGAAACGTAGGATAAAACACCAGCAGTCAGAGGACGGGGTGAGAGCAACGGCATGCCCCTCTCCTCGGAGAGGTCAGAGGCAAGGGTCTTCACATGCGTGCTCCGTGTGGCTTTTGCAGCATGCAGCAGTGCCCCAGAGTCCCATTTCTAGAAACTTCCCCTGGAGATGCTCATATCAGTAGTGAGACCCCCAAGGGAGGGCCCAGCTGTAACAAGGGATGCTGGAGGGGACACTGCACATTCGTGCGTACACATGTCTATGCGTGTGCATGGGTCTCCTAACCCCAAGTGCTCTGACTGGCCTCCTAGAAGGCCTGAAAACCCATGTTAAGAACTTAGTTGCAGAATATTTTGTGATGCAGAAACATGTTCACAATTCATATGGGAGAAGTAGATTAAAAACCTAGGTGATAATAATGTTGAAAATATACATTGATCCATTTTCAAACTTCCTACAATTACTGCATATTAAATTTGAAATAAGAAAAAAAATCATGAAAATCATTTAAAGATTTATTTATTTATTTTAGAGAGAGCGAGTATGGGGCTGGGGGACAGGTAGGGGCAGAGGGAGAGAGAATCACAAACAGACTCTGCATTGAGCATGGAGCCTGATGTGGGGCTCAATCTCGCGACCCTGAGACCATGACCTGAGCCAAAACCAAGAGTCGGATGCTTAACCAAACTGCGCCACTAGGCGTCCCAATGATGAAAATCATTTTAAAAATATGTATATACACCACCCCTGGTGCATTAAATCTGTACAAATTCAAAAGCCGTGGACGAGTTCCTACAGGAAGTGACAACATGAACACGAGCCATCTTGTGGTCCCTTTCATCCAATCTACTGCAGGCGGCCTCAAGATGCCTGGTGACCCTGCTCCCTGGTGTTCATGGCCTGTGTGATCACTTCCCTTTGAGTAACTCACTGCTAACCAACAGGAGACCTCAACCTTGGGCCTGATCAGATCCCAAGCAATTCTGACTTCCCTTGCGCTGGCCAATTATCCCTAGCTGGCTCTGATAAAGCACCTGCTCGTCGAGCTTCAGAAGAGACCACGGCCCCGCCAACACGTGGATGGCAGCTGTGCCTGGATTCCCATCCCACAGACACCGTGAGAGAATCAACATGCATCGTCGTAGGCTGCAAGCTCTGTGGTAATTTGTGAAGCAGCAATGGATAATACACCCCCTATATGAGTTTTCTAAGGCGGCTGTGATGGATTACCATCAACTAATTGGCTTAAACAACAGAAATTCCATCTCTTACAGTTCCAGAGGCCAGGAGACTAAAATCAGGGTATTGCAGGACCACGCTCCCTCTGAGACCTCTACCGCAAGATCCTTCCTTGCTCTGCTGGCTTCTGGTGTTCGTCAGCAAGCCTTGGTGCCCCTTGACTTGCAGCTACAACACTCCAATCTCTGCCTCTATCGTCACCTGGGCTTCTTCATCGTGAGCATCTGCATCCCAAATTTCCCTCTTCTTATAAGGACAAAAGTCACTCATTAGTGCCCATTCTAATCCAGTATGACCCCATCTTAACTTGATGACATCTGCAAAAACCCTATTTCCAAATACAATCATGTTCACAGGCAGCAAGGGTCAGGACTTGAACAGATCTTCTGGGGGAACACAGTTCAACCCATAACACCCCAAAATTAACGAATGAGTGACAGACTGAAAACAGACATAAATAATTATTACAGACAACGGCCAAAATGTTTCATGTGTTAGGAGTGCAGAGAAGTTGATGAGAAAATCATTGAGAACTCAAAAGATGAAGTCTCAAAAGTGGTAGTTCAGAGGCCTCCACATATGGCTGAGTATTACACCTCATGGGTAATCGGAGGCGCACAGATGGAAACCAAAGCAGTAAGATCATTTCAGCCACCACGTTAATAGGGTGGCGGTGGCGTCCATTCTTTTAAGTCAGCACACGTGAGAATGTGACAAAACAGCTGCTAGATTGGGAAGCACACCCATCATTTCCGTGGGAATAAACTAGAGGGTACATTCTAGTTCATTCTGTCAGCCTCTGGCTCAGCTATCCATTCCTGGGAATCCAATCCAGGACGCCTCCTAAATGCAAACAGCACCCAGAGGATGGAGGAAGGCACAGGATTGAAAAACTGAGTGCTGGGGGTGGAGGACTCTAGCTGCTGAGATGTTAGACTGCTACTCAGAAAGCTGTGAGCTGTTTCAGTAACTTGAAAAGTACCTATGCTGAGAAGCTAAATTTGATTTAAAATGTACGATATGAAGCTACATATCCCAAATGCTCCTCAAACAGTACAAACCTCAAGACCAGAAAAAGAGTAGAATCTCCACAATGGCTAATGCTTGATACGGTACAACGATTACGTAGATGTGAAAGTGGAAAAAACACGAACACTTACTTTTCCTCTCTGACTGAAGGGAAGCGCTGGTGATTATAATAACTTAAATGTTTATAGGCCTTCTTCAGAATTGAGTTCACATCTTCAGGTAACTCATTTTTATCCAATTTTCTAGAATTTATTCAAACAATAAATAACCAAAATATCATGTCAGATTTGTTCAAATTATCCTAAGACAAACTCCAAGTCTATGAACCTGTGTTTCCCACTGAACAGGCCTAAAAAATCCCTCTTCCTTCGTTCCTTCACTCTCCAAGATGACTTCTCACACCTCCTTACTCTCCTTACTCCCAGAACAGGCTCCTTTTCCCTGTACAGCCCCTCTGCCAGAACCAGACCCATAGGAGGGCAACCTTGTAGGCTGGCTTGGCCCTTCATACCTCCCCTGTTCAGGACCCTGGGCAGCAAACTGCCTCCCTCTGGACAGCTTCCCTCTACTCACACACACACTGGATCTCCTCATGCCTTCTCCTCACACACACTGGATCTCCTCACTGTCCTCAACTCACACGCACTGGATCTCCTCACTGCCTTCTCTTCATATGCACTGGATCTCCTCATTGCCTTCTCCTCACACACACTGATCTCCTCATGCCTTCTCCTCACACACACTGATCTCCTCACTGCCTTCTCCTCACACGCACTGGATCTCCTCATGCCTTCTCCTCACACACACTGGATCTCCTCATGCCTTCTCCTCACACACACTGGATCTCCTCATTGTCCTCAACTCACATGCACTGGAGCTCCTCACTGCCTTTTCCTCACACGCACTGGATCTCCTCACTGCCTTCTCTTCATATGCACTGGATCTCCTCATTGCCTTCTCCTCACACACACTGGATCTCCTCATGCCTTCTCCTCACACACACTG